GAAGGGGAAGGAGATATTTAGAAAGGAGGTGGAAAACTGGAGGCGGAGGATGCATGAGAAATGGGAGGGGTCTCTTGGTCATCAATATAAAGGTCCCACCTTTGCCCCTGAAAAGTATAGGAATATTGAGAGGAGGACAGCACTTCTGACTACAACATTAGAGAAGTCCTCTGGCAAACCGAAGAAAACACAGCCCATTGGTGTGAGTATGCAGGGAATTTAATAATGTCTGGGCAGCTGGGTGTTACAAATGCCAGGAACTGTCAGATGAAGTATCAGCCAAATGTTAGGAACTCATTCTACATGATCAAGTTTATAGGGTTTGCCTTTTCAGCCCCTTAAATATAGAGAAGTTTACTGATTGTTGCTGGGGTGGGATTTTGAGAGATAGAAAATGGTGAAGACAGAGATTTAAGTAACATTCATATATATCAGGCATGGGCAAACTTCGACCCTCCAGGTATTTTGGACTCCCACAATTCCTAACAGCCAATAGGAATTGTGGGAGTTGAAGTCCATAACACCTTGAGGGATGAAGTTTGCTAATGCCTGAAGTATAGGCTATATGTGTGCATTTGATATCTGCTTTGCTGTCTTTATTTTTGAACAACTGATCTAAGGTTTTTAACCCCAACATTAGATGATGAACAATTTGCAGCTTGTACACAATTAAAACAAACCAATATATCATAAGAATATGCTGATCTTGAAATAGGTGTACTTTTTTGAATTACAAGTGAACATGCTGAGTGGGGGATGCTGGGACTTGTATCCAAATGTAACTTGCTAAGGCCTGAGAAAGTAGATCTTGTGTCCTCCCCAAGGAGAATATTTTTTCTCTCTGTCTTTCTCACACACCAACGCAGGCCCCATCTACACTGCCATAGCATGCATTATATGGTCAGTGTAGACCAGGCATGGGCAAACTTGGGCCCTCCAGATGCTTTGGACTTCAACTCCGACAGTTCCTAACAGCCTCAGGCCCCTTCCGGGAAAAAGAAGGGCCTGAAGCTGTTAGAAATTGTGGGAGTGACGCGGCGTGAGCTCAGGAGTTCTGGGCCTTGGCGGGCTATGCCGATCGGGTGTCCGCGCTAAGTCCGGCGTCAATAGTTGAAGTCCAAAACACCTGGAGGGCTCAAGTTTGCCCATGCCTGGGTAGACACATGTAATGCAGTTAGACTTCATAATATCTATCACCACTGACCATATAATGCAGTTTCAAATTACATGTGGCACAGATGAATGTTCCATTTGAGAATGATTTTTGTTTACACAAATACACACACCATAGTAACAAATTCATAACAAACTGCCCTTGTACTTATAGTCAATGGGTTTATTTATTTATCGTGTCATCAGCAACCAGATATTTGTATTACATTTTTAACAAAAACAAAGTCAATGGATGAAATCAGTTGCTACTGCTTTCCATTAATTCTGAGTAAAACTTTAAAACCTTTTTGGGAGGGCACAGAATGTGGTGAAGTAAAGATATCAGTGGTAAACAAGGAGTCACATGCTTCCAGATGTTGTCAAGAGATGCCTACAAGTAAGGCCTGAGTTTATGTCCATGAAAGCTCATGCTAAAATAAAGCACAGTCTTCAAGGTGCTTCAACATTTCTTTTATTTATTCCCCTCCATTCTTGTTTTTCAAGGAGGAAAAGGTTAGCCAGTGGAAGGGGTGGCAGGTGAAGATTAGAGCAACTACCTGGAAAGTGAAGCGAGCTCTACTGTTTTTGTGTAACAGTGGTCTTTCCACGGCTTGCTTGCTTGCTAGCCCTCCTGCCCCAAACCTCCCTCTTCAGTCTTCTGTTCTTTCTCCATCTCTTTCGCCTCTCAGTCGTCTGGCATTGCTGAGGCTGACAGACGCCAGAATGACTGTGATATACTGAAAACTCATAAAATCCACATTTGGATTAAATGTGAGCTCTGTGGAACATAAACAAATCCTGACCAAGGCAAGTGAATATCTTTTTAAAGGAGCCAATTTTTTAAAAATCCAGGAGAAGCTGGGGAACAAGGAGAGAAAGGGAAGCTGGTGCAAGAAGCTGGAGGCAAGGATTCAGGGGTTTCAGATGGATGATAGAATGCCTGCTTCTGCCTCACTCTCCTGAGTGAATGTACAAGACAGAAGCTTAGGAAAAAAAGAAAAGAAAAAACGAGGCTGGTCAAGTGTCAGAAAGTGCAAAGTCTTGTCCTGAGAAAAGAAGGCCTCTGTTGTGCATTAGGGAAAGCTATTGCTCATAAACATTTTTTTTACCCCCACATGATCACAAAACTTGGAAGAGTGCTAGGAGTTTGGAAGGAACTCTTTCCTGGCACTGCAAATTCCAACAAGATTTGGCCAAGGCTCTCTTCAAAAGGCATGCATAAGGGAGCAGTAGGCCCCTGACTAATTTTGGTGCTTTCCAGATTGCCCGTTGTTTCAACATGGCACTGCTTCCTATTCCTCTGCCTTTCTGCCAAAAGGCCCGTCCTCTGAAATGTCTCAGGAGCATATAAATGTAAAAATAAAGGAAACATACATAATTGTCCTCATGATTCAAACAAACTGGAGACCCATGCACAATTTGGCTGGGCTCATGAGTTAGTAAAATGTCATAGACCACAGTTTTGGACTGGCCCAGAGCAGGCACTGAGTTCAGTTCTGAATGTGGTTTTACAAGTGGTTTTATTGCAACCACAAACTGCATTGATTCAAAATATTTTGCTAGTTGTCAGGTTTTAGATGAATGTCTACATATTTCTCTGTTCCCAACTTCTAGGAATCTGGGATGTTAAGTACCAGGATTGTTCATGTGAAAGAAGTGCTGCTTTCCAACTCCATATTTTATTACCATGTGGGAAAATGGCTGGTACAGTTTAAGAATCCCTTGTTTGCAAATCTGAAAGGCTCCAAAATCAAAAATTGTTCCCACGAGTGCTGAGATCATGACCCCTTTTGTTTTCTGATGGTTCAATGTATACAGACATTGTTTTATGCACAAAATTATTAAAAATATTTTGTACAAAATCACCTTTAGCTTATGTGTATAAGATGTGTGTGTGTGTGTATGTATATATATATATATATAATGAATTTTGTGTTTAGATTTGGATCCAAACTATATCATTATGTATATATATGCAAATGCAGGTATTCCAAAACACTTATGATCCCAAGCATTTTGAATAAGGAATACTCAACCTGTAATTGTTTTCCATGCCTGCTCCTCTAACAAATTAAGGACACGGTTCTGTACACAGAGATTTATATTCCAAGATTAAGTTACATATTACTCAAATTGAAATTAATAGAAATAAAGCAGAATTGGGAGTCATGCCTCCCCCCACTCACCCTACAGTCAATGAGGAAACTCTCAGCATTCTTCCCTATTGGCTGTGCCAGCATGTCTTCAGAGACTTGCAGTCCAACAATATATGTAGGTTTGCATGATTCCCTCCTTTGTATTAAAACATGCCTGACTTAATCTAGATTCATTTCACTTTGGAGTAGGCATGGGCAAACTTCGGCCCTCCAGGTGTTTTGGACTTCAACTCTCACAATTCCTAACAGCCTTAGGCCCTTTCCTTTTCCCCTTAGCTGCTTAAGGAAGGGGCCTGAGGCTGTCAGGAATTGTGAGAGGTTTAGTCCAAAACACCTGAAGGGCTGAAGTTTGCCTATACTTGTTTTGGAGGGGGTAAATTTATTGAAATCTTCTCAGTTGGCCTGCTGAAGAATGATCTACTGATGCAACAAAGAACAGATTTATTTATGTGGTCAAGGCATGGTACTTGTTTTGAAGGAAAACTATTGTAATGAGTTTTTGGAAATGCTATGTCTATGGCACTCTGGAAAATTCTTGAAATTTAGCTGTTTGGTTTAAATCTAGCACCACAAAGGAAAAAAAAAACACAAGCTGAGTTTCTGACAAAGTGTTGTTTTCTCATTTTTCTGAATATGGGTAAAAATGTGATGAGAATTCATTGGCCGAGTATTTGTATTAATGTTTAAGAACCTGGAGCCAATATATGCAGAGCACCTAACATGTTGCCCTTCAGATATGTTGGAATACAGGCCCATCTCTCTTCTAGTAGTCATAATGGTTGTGGGCAATGGAAGATATAGATCAACAATACTGTCTAAGATGATCATTTCTGCATTAATCTAGATTTCAATACAGATCATTACTGTATTGACCTAAAAGTTGACCTGCCATTCAGCAGAAGGTGGGGAGGGACATACATTTATGCAACTGAGCTGGCCACTCCTTGTTTCAGCTAGCTCTAGTTGTCCAGACCAAGATAGATATGAAATAGCAGTTCCATTTAAATATTTGCTTATATATAAAGGATTTGAGATCTAGACAGATAGATGGACAGAACACAAATCACATGTCTGCCTACCTGTCTGTCCATCTATCTATCTTAGTGAACACTGCCAGTCATGAAGGATGATGGGAATTGCAGTCCAGCCATACCTGGAGGACCACATGTTTCCCTAGCCTGCCCGAGTCCCCTTCCACACAGCTGAATAAAATCACACATTACCTGCTTTGAACTGTAATATATATCAGTGAGGACTCAGATAACCCAGATCAAAGCAGATATTGTGGGATTTTCTGTCTTGTTGTTCTGGATTATATGGCTGGGTGTAAGGGCTCAGAGAGGAAAGCTAAAATCTAGAGGGTTTTTTTTTAAATGGTGGAATACAGAATTATACAATAGGCTGAACAAACCAATGAGTTTGAGATGTATATGAAGAGAAGTCAAAACACTGTGCAAGGGAAATTTATCTTGAAAGAAAGTTGAGGGACCATAACACTAGATCTGCCAGTGTGGTGGAAAGTGCTGGAAAATTGGAAGACAAATTAGAAAATGGAACACTTCTCTTTAGGAGAAAGCGTAATCCCTTGTCCTAGGCCTTGGCTAATGTCTGGGATTCCACCCCCGGAGTCTAACATTTCTGAGTAGGCAGAGTTAACATCTCACCTCCCCTTGAACTGTGGAGTCCAGAAAAGGAGGGGAAGCAAACATGCCCACTCCTACCAGAGGCTGGTTAAACCCACTCATCCAGGGTTTTCTCTCACAGTCTCCTTAGAGGGCAAGTGCCAGGCTGTCCCTACCTTCATCTGATGCCCTCATCTTCCAGCTGCAGGCAGCTTTCTTACTTAACACTCTACTACTACACTTTGCAGCTTGCTTAAGAGTCTTCAGCTGCCCTTGGTGGAAACAGAGACCAAAACAGACACAGAAAGAGGGAAAGAGAAAGAAACACAATGCGGACCCTCATCATTCTTGCACTCCTGGCTGTCCTGATGATGGCAGCGCTCTGCTATGGTAGGTGATGTAGTAGTTATTTGTGTTTATAATCTACTCTTCTCACACAATGTGGCCATACCCTTGTACCTGAGGTTTCACTAGCCTTCTCTACCATGTACATCATCAATGCTATCCTTTTGCTTTGAATGCAATTGGGTGCTTTGAATGCAATTTTCCTGCTTCTTGGCAGGGGATTGGACTGGATGGCCCATGAGGTCTCTTCCAACTCTATGATTATAATATTCTAGTCCTATCCTTGTGCTCAGATTGAACTCTCTGGCTAGACCTCTTTATATTTTTTGTCCAACCCGAGTCTTTTTTGTTTATATTCCTTCACAACCCGGTTTTATCTTAATTCAAAATGCAAGGGATAGATGAATGTAGGTCAACTATTTTACCAGAAGATATTGCAATTTACAAATACACTGTTGCCTTGTAAAATTTCTGGGACAAGTGTTAAGGTGTCATGTTTTCTTTATGGGAGTTGTACTCGTTGCTAACCTGCTGAATAGTTTAAGGAGAAGGGATTATCTGAGGACTTTTCATCTGTTGTTGCTCCATGACCATCGGTGAAAACAATTTTTTTCCTGTCCAGAATTCCCAACTTTTCTTTTTGAGGTTTTGGAGACTGTCAAGTGAGAATTTACAGGAGTGATGTGGAAATGTAGGGAAAGTGACTCTTCTGAGTTAAGAAACAGTTTATTTGAAATCAAGCTGCCAGTTATTGATTTCCTCACCTGCAATTTTTGAGGCATGTTCTGCTCTTCTGAGGGTCTTCCTAAGTGTATTATTGTTGTGGAGATCTCTCAGATCATTGTCTCCTCTCTTTTTGTGATGGAATGCCATAATCGATAGCAGTTACTTTATTGTTGCTTTTGAAAACTACGACTTCCAAAATCCCTTACCTAGCATTTTTCAGTGTGGATTTTGGGAACTGTAATAGTAATAATAATAACAACAACAACAACAACAACAACAACAACCCCTGGCGAGTAGATTGTGATCACTGATTAGAGAGGGAAAATCTCAGGAAATGTTGAAGCCATAGGGAGGGCAAAGCTGTATTTTTCAGAAAAAAATAAAACTTCAGAAAAAACATTGAGCTCTTAGAGAAAACTGGCCATCTATACTTATGCACACTTTTAGGTTACATTAGCTTCAGTTGCAAAGCAAAACCATGTGTTCATACCTCTGAAAACAGTAAAACTTAAAATAACTTAACTCTGATTACCATCAGGAAAGCTCAAATGTCCTTCTGAATCCAATACCATGCCATAATCACAAGATCGTAATAGCCTCTGTCTCTTTCTCTATTTGACTGATGCACATGTTTAACAGTTTGATACTGTTATAAAAACCATGGCTCTTCAAAGGAAGTGAGCCATGAATGAAAGGGCCTTATAAATAGAAATACATCAGAATGGGACTTCATAGCTAAGAATAAGATTGACAAGGAGCATCTGAATAAGAGTGTTGGAAAGGTTACTTCTTTGTTCTATAATGCACAAAAAGTACCATTTCCAGAGTTCTTCATCTGATCGATCACCTCTGATGCTGGTTCAAATCTGGGGAGCGGGGTGAGCTCCCATCTGTAGTTCCAACTTCTCATGAGGGAACAGGAGAGAAGCCAACCAACGGGAGAGAAGCCTCCCACAGTAAAACATCTAGGGGTCCCCTGGGCAACGTCCTTGCAGACAGCCAATTCTCTCACATCAGAAGCGACTTGCAGTTTCTCAAGTTGTTCCTGACATGAAAAACCAAAACAAAAACCCTCTGGATTCTGAATTTTGGATGTGATCTTTGGAGACAGACTTTTGGCCTGACAGAACAAGATCATTCTGACACAGGTTACATTCTTACTCCTTTTTGTTGTATTAATAATGAACTAACACCATCATGTTTTCTGTTTCTCTTACAGAGTCTCATGAGAGTATTGAATCGCATGAATTAACAAGTAAGAAACAATGCAATATGCTGTCTGACTTACTACAATGCTTAAAATGCACATTATCACTTGTTCAAGGGACCCTACAGTGTTCTGCCATGCCACTTCATAAGCCTCAGTTCTTTTTGGATCCTCAACCAACTGTGGCAATAAAAAGCAGATCCAGGGAAAGTGATATTATTGGAATACATTTCCTAGGATCCAGATGCCAGCAAGGCCAGTAACTGCTGGCAAGAGGATACTAGGAGCTTTAGTCCAAAGAAATAAGTTTTCCAGGTTCTGATAAAAACCATTACCATGACCTACTTGTCTCTAGCCAATACATTTAGTTTCTGGCTTTTTTACTTTTTATTTGTCATGGTTTACACCTATTCTGTCCTATCATCTGGTTTCAGTCTAGGAGTCAGATGTTTGCAGCCTACAGCCTCGAAGCATCTGTACAAAACTGATAAAAGGCTTGGCCCTTTAGTTTGGAAAATACTGCTGTAAGAGAATAGACTAAGAACTGTTCAAGCATCTGTCAATGAAAGAGTGGGAGAACACAAGGGAAGTAACTCCTTGAGCATGGATAAATGGTTGATGTTGCCCAGAAAGGAACTTTCCAACTTCTGTTGGATTCACTTCCAAGATAGGAAGTGAATCCAACACTTCATGAAGTCCAGTCGTGTCCGACTCTGGGGGTTGGTGGTCATCTCATTTCTAAGCCAAAGAGCCGGCGTTGTCTGTAGACACCTCCAAGGTCATATAGCTGGCATGACTGCAAAGATAGGATTAGGCCATTAAAATAGTAGGAGTCAAAAGAGAAGGGAGAGTTGCTTCATTGTAACAACCATTACAAGAAGAGACTTCTTCTGGCACATGACCATACAGCCTGGAAAACTCAAAGCAGCCCAGACTGCAAAGTAACTCAGGGGAATGAAAAACAAAGCAGTAAAGGCAGAAACTGAGCCATTATTCAAAACGTTGTAATACATTAAAAGTAGCATTGCTGAAGGATGCCTGAAAGAGCTCTGAAATAAAAATAATACACAATCTTGCCTTCAATATAGTAGTCTTCACTTCCCTCTTTCAAATCAGAAGCCCCCTTCAAGCTTAGTCTGTAACATGAATTCCATTTCAAATGTCTGACTCAATATGCTCATCTTCCTTTGAACATGTAGGATCAAACATCTGGTATTTCCAGATGTGTCACTAAAGTTTCCAGAAAACTTGCCTAAATCCTTATTCTGGAAGGCAGGAATTTAGAGGAGTGTTGGAATATGTAAGAAGGCAGCAGAGCTATTAAAGAAAAGATAGTATCAGCAGGGTTTCTAAATACCTTGCAGGCACCAGATCTTGTCTGATCATTTAAGTAGGGTCATGCCTGGTTGGTATAGGGCTTAGAAAGGAGATTACTACAGAATACCAAGTGCTTTAGGGTACATCCAAAAGAAGGCAATGGCAAATCGGAATAAACCTTGCCAAGAAAATCTTATGATAAAGTTGCTATGAATTGGAGATGACTTGAAGGCACATAATACCAGCAGGCACGCCTGTTCTGTCTCTTGCATAATACTTTTATTTATAACTGCCAGAAATTTCTTTGTATCTACTTTGTCTCATATTTCTGTTTTTTATTTAATAAAGAAGCCCAAAACTCGTCAAAAGAAAACTTAATGAAATGCTTTCATGCCACCTTTAATTGGTGAGTGGCTTACTTGTGAGTTTTTACTCACCAGCAGTTTAAGATGAATAAAGTAGGACATGAACCACCAAATTACCATCTCCCAAACATGATTATTAGCATAAAACATTTGAAGGCAACAGGTTGGTCACTGTTTTTCTTTCTGCGGTACTGGAGAGAGTCTTGGATTCTGGATTTTATTTCTTGAATGTGCTAAATACCAGAAATATTTCAATAAGTCACAAAACTCGGAGAGAAAAAAAACAAGAACAAAAACAACCCACATACTGGAAACATAGAGTTCTTGAAAAAGCAAAAACATAACACTTCTGTGTCTCTTGCCCAAATGAAAACTGATACAAATGTAAATTAAATGACAGGAAAGGTTGAGACTTGAAGAAAAATATTTTGACCACAGAAAGTAACAGAAAAGGTTTTTAAGACTTTTGCCTATAAGATTCTAGGAGAGCATAATTAAATAACTGACTCCATGTCAACTCAAAGAAAGGAATCCATGGACCAGATGTGACATGTTTAAGCTATTTCTGATTGAAATCTACAAATTAGAGCAGTGGTTCCCAACCTTTGGTCCTCCAGTTGTTTTGGACTTCAAGTCCCAGAAATCCCAGCCAGCTTATCAGCTGTTAGTAATTGTGGGAGCTGAAGTCCAAAATACCTAGAGGACCAAAGGTTGAGAACCACTGAACTAGAGGAAGTTATAACATTCCTGAATTTATTGCACTGCAGCTCTCGTAAGCCCAATAGGCAATGGTGAGGATGATGGGAAATTTCCTCCCTCCCACCCCAGAAGTCCCCAACTCTTGGACTAGAGAGGAACATGAGCCTTTGCTTGAGTATTGATGTAATTTATTTAAGAATTTATAAGATTCCAGGCAAGCTTTTAAAAAGTGAGCATTTTGCACTATGTCTGTAAGGATCCTCAGAATCCAAACATGGGAGCTGGGGTGCAACAATAACTTTTCCAAACTGAAATCAAGACCTGGAGTATACTGAACCATAGTATTCCCATGTTCCTCCATATTATTTTTCTTAAGATGATGAAAGGTGTGGCAATTGGCTATAGTTTTCCATTGTGAACTGACCCCATGCTTTTGAATCACTTGAAACAGAGAAGTGATTGGTGACAGTGAATAGTTTTGTTTATTGGTTTACCTCCTAGATTGCCCTCTACATTACTTTCACCTATGTAATGGTTGGTGGCTTCCATGCCAGTGGGGCGGTGAATCCGTTTTTGGTTTTTATTCCAAACTTGAAAGGATCTTCTCAAAGTAATAAAAAGTACTCAACCTATTTTGTGAATGGAAGTCAGCACCTTGAATAGTTCCTTTAAAGTTGATATCAAAGTCCAGAGCAGCTTTACCTCCCTCCTGATAACCTTCTTGTCAACCACACCTATATATTACCCTGCAACAGGCTTTGATAACAGTAAGGAGGTTTATGCAATAGCTAGAGACAGAATCCTTGCTGCTGCCTCATCTACCAGCAATGGACATGTTGTTGGCTCTGTCACTTGCCTGCCCATATTACAGTGCATAGGGCTCCTGGTGGGCAGCCTGTGTCATATGTAAACCTTTTCTCTTAGATGCCTATGTCAATGCCACAATGCCCATGTTAACAGCTACCTTTTTGAGTTATAATTTCCAGCATCCCTCGGTCAGAAATGCTAGATTTCTTGGAGAACTCCACTACTAGATCCCATTATGCTTTAATCACAGTGATGGGGTTTGATGTGATGGAGAGCTGTTCCACATGTCATGTGGGCAGGAAGATTCTAGGATCTATAGTCCAAAAATTAGCTTTTATAATTCTGGTCAATGCAAAGGCCAAGCTCAGAAACATGCCTAGTAGTATATGTGATGCTTGGACAAGGGCAGCGCTGTGGTCTTCACGTGAAAGTCTCTCCACATAGTTAAGGAGCAATTAGGTTATAGCGACATTCATGTAGAGCTTGTGGTCTTTGGCGACCATGCTAAAGGTAAAGGCTTCCCTTTGACATTAAGTCTAATTGTATCCAACTCTGGGGGGATGTGCTCATCTCCATTTCTAAGCCGAAGAGCTGGCATTGTCCGTAGACAACTCCAAGGTCATGTGGCCGGCATGACTGCATGGAGCACCATGTTGCATCCCAGATCAAGAAATGAGACCATAAGATTAAATCCACCACACTGGACTGTAGGAAAAGCAATCCTTGTTTATTGATGAAAAATTGGTTACAAAAGAAAGGTAAATGCAAAGTCAAAAAGCCACAGAAAAAACACAGCAGTCAGTAGAATCTCTGAACTTGAGCAAAATTCCAAAAGCCACAATACAAGAACCAGGAACCTGTTAGCCTTTCACTAACCATGAACTTGAAAACTAGAAACTTCTGGGATTACCGGCCATGGAACACAGGAATTCTGCCAAGGCACAGCCACAGTCCCAAACGTTGCTTGATCTAAAGAGGCACCCGGCAGAAGGCCCCTTAAACCAAAGAAGCTATTCTTTGAAACGCCCCTTGACTTTGAAGCCTGGGCCTGTCTCTCCTGTAAACGATTTGACCTTCGTAGAAACTGTGAAACATTTCTGTCTCTAACTATCTGTTCTCTTCGGTCCTCATTAAAAAAAACCCAGGTGGAAAGATATCACGGCTAGCTTCCAGCTGTTCAGCCTCACCCCCATCGCCGCTGACCTCTGTATCAACAACAGATTCCACACTGTCAGGGTCAGGGAGAGCTTGCTCAGTTGGAAAAACTATCAGAGAATCCGGTTCACACAGATCAGGATCAGGCTGAACCCCAACACACCATTACCTTCCCACCAGAGCAGTACCTATTGATATTCATATTTGCATGTTTTTGAAGTGCTAGGTTGGTTGGAGTAACAGCAGGAGCTCACCCCACTCCCTGGATTCAAACCACCGACCTTTTGGTCAACAACCTTTTGGTCAGCAAGGAGCCTGCTGTGCCACCAGGCTCCTTTGCTACCATGAGATCAGAATATTAGACAAGATAGGCCTTTTGTAGTGGCGTTCATGTAGAGCTGGTGGTCTTTGGCTACCATGAGATCAGGATACTAGACAAGATAGATTTTTGTATGATTCAGCATGGCTCTCCTTATAACCTCATGTAACAGACTTTATACTACATTTGCTGTTTTTACTGTCATTTGGAAGCACATATAGAAAAGCAGGGAAGGAAAGGGGGTATGAGCGTTACTCCATTCATAACAAAAGAGCACTAATGTAGAGAGAAGACTAATGGTATTGGCTAGCATGACTGTGAAGAGCAATCAAGTGATCGAAACTAATGTAGCGATATTTTATTTTTGCATAAATTTATTGACTATAAGGTTAACTAAGTAATAATTACTGCTGTTTCTTTCTAGGTCCTTTCATTAACAGAAGGCATGCCAGCATTTTCATGAGAACTCCACCTGAGAACAGGAGGAATCCTTATCTGCATGAAAGGTATTTTTCCTTTCCATTGTAAATGTTTAGTATGTTATTATGGGTGAGTGGAGGTAAGGGCCACTCCTCTTTTACTCATTCATCATCTGTCTCTAATTTAAAAAACAATTTATACACCAGGTTGCTGTGAGTTTTCCGGGCTGTATGGCCATGTTCCAGAAGCATTCTCTCCTGACGTTTCACCTGCATCTATGGCAGGTATCCTCAGAGGTGTAAGGTCTTCTTATACCTATGAGGATGCCTGCCATAGATGTGGGTGAAACATCAGGAGAGAATGCTTCTGGAACATGGCCATACAGCCCAGAAAACTCACAGCAACCCAGTGATTCCGGCCATGAAAGCATTTGACAACAGAATATAAACACCTTTTAAATTATATGGGCATAATCTCGACACAGCTCTAAAACCCCATTTTCTCCAACCTCTGTAGCTGCATTTCTCCTCTCCTTATTAAATCTGTCCCTAAATTGCATCTAAGCAATCCAATTAAGATCTTTGCTTTCTTTAAAAATGATATCTCTTTAAGGAAAGCTTCCAAAGACTCTGTGCATAGTTAGCATATTCTTTCTGAACTATGATGAGTCTGGGTACTGGAAAATACCCAGAGGATAATCTAATATTCCTCAGAGGAGACATTTGTATGAAATAGCTGCCAGATCTTTGAAGAAAAATCCCAAATTCCCACTTTGCAAAGATTTTGCACATATACAACATAAACAGAACACAAAACCATTTGTTTAATGTATTTCTTGGACACCAACAGAAATGTTCAACAAGAAACAAACTATAATTATTGCCTTTTTTCCCTCCCTGTTTCTCTCATCTTCTCCTCTCACTTGCATGGACAGAATCAGAGGCCGTAACAAGAGCACCCAGGAGCGCCAGAGGGAGACCTGTGAAGATTACTATCCCTGTGACACTTATGCTATGCGCTATGGGTATGCCGCTGCCTACAAGCGCTTTTTTGGGCAAAGAAGGGGCAAGTAAGAAAGATCAGGAATCCAAATTCCCAGTGCCTGCCGCCTGGAATCTTAATCTACAGAGAGAGTGACATCTCTAAAATGTATTGTTGCTTGTTAACTGTATGTTATTCCACCTGCTTCTTCATTCTTCTGTAACCATTGAGTCCTAGATATCATTTCAGTTTGCACAATGCTGATGTAGTGGTGGCTGAGCGGGGAAGGATGTGGGTTTTTATTACAAAATAAATGGCTGGTTTGATACTGTTTCTTCATAACTCCAGAGTTTTCTTTTGGGTCACTCCCAAACTGGCAATTTGTATGTATACATGCACATAAGGTAAAAGGTAAAGGTTTCCCCTGACATTAAATCTAGTCGTGTCTGACTCTGGGGGGTGGTGTTCATCTCCATTTCTAGGCCAAAGAGTCAGTGTTGTCCGTAGACACCTCCAACGTCATGTGGACAGCATGACTGCATGTAGCAATGTTACCTTCCTGCAGAAGCGGTACCTATTGGTGTACTCAAATGTTCATGTTTTTGAACTGCTAGGTTGGCAGGAGCTAGGACTAACAGCGGGAGCTCACCCCGCTCCCTGGATTCGAATTGCCAACCTTTCAGTCAGCAAGTTCAGCAGCTCAGTGGTTTAACCCATTACACCAGCATGGGACATACATGCACATACCAGATCAGAAAAATCTCATTGATTTCAGTGGGACTTTTCTAAATAGGGCTGTGTCAGGATCCAACTCCATGAACTATATTTACTTTTATTTGCCAGTTGTTTGGTCCATTTAGCTGGTTTGGCAAGGTGTTAAAATAACAATGACAAGTTCAAATGGTGGACAAGTAGCTTATGAAGCAATATAACTTAGATGTTGGATAGAGTCATATTTTCATTGAACAACAGACGGAATAGTGGCACTGCGCATTACTTATCACTGCACACATGCTATAAAATAGTAATTGGATGAGTATTTGGGTATTCACACAGTGTCTATCTTACAAATAATTATACAAGTGTTGAAAGATGGATGGGGATGGAAGACCACCCATTTAGTCTATGTACTCCTGAGAACACAAGATTGTTTCCCACTATTGTATCATCCAGATACCCATAATTCCTGATTTCTGTTAGTCTTTCAAACTCATCTCCCATTTTCGATGAAGAACATTGAAGCATAATTTTGTGAAGTTTTCAGGCTCTCAACACTATTACATTTGGTTAATAATGATACTGGTGATACTAATATTACCGCATTACTATTACTGATGCTACGTTAGAGGTATAGCAACAACCATAACACCTCAAAGGAGCTTAAACCATGCTTCTCATCTGCCATCTTTGCCATGATTCTCTAAGAAAAGTTAGGATGACAGTGTAATTAAGTTAACATTACCTAGTGATCCATGGCAAGATGAACTCATACCTTTCTAGCTCTAATCTAACAGTGCAGAACACAGAATATCAGAAAACTCCTGTTTTTGGGTGTCTAATATGACAGGGGCATTCATTCAAATGCAAATTGTTTTCCTTCAGAAGAACATTCCAATCACCCATATATGGAAATGGCCTCTCTAAACCACATCTTTTTATATAAATTAAGGCTTTGTCTATACTAGGCATGGGCAAACTTCGTCCCTCCAGGTGTTTTGGATTTCAACTCCCACAATTCTGAACAGCCTACTGGCTGTTAGGAATTGTGGGAGTTGAAGTCCAAAACACCTAGAGGGACGAAGTTTGCCCATGCCTGGTCTACATTGATTAAAAATATCATACTGACTTGATCCGCAATGATTTGCTTGCAGTGTGTTTCATTGAGATTGTATCTGTTTAAAAAAAAAAACAACTTTGCAGTAGTATTTAATTTTGAGGGTATTAAAAAAATCTGGATTTTTAGGCATACAGTCAGTTTTCCAGGTGGCATTGCTTCATTGTAACATTGGGAGAAGACTCAGATGTGAGTGGAACTGTTTGGTGAGAGCTGAACATTCCTGCCAGAAAGTGTTTTTTGAATTTTAAAAAAAGTTTGCATGTGTGGATACTTGAATATCAGTATATCAGCATTAGCACACTTCTGCATAACAGAAAATAAATTTATTTGCATGCATGATGGAAAAAATAAAATTTGACTATCAATGGCCATGCGGCCAAAAAAAAAAAGACAAAGGATTGAAATATAGACTTTCTTCTTGCAATAAGGTGTGTGACATTAACAGGGTCATAGCAGGCTCAATGAAATTAGAAAAAAGTGGTGCCAAACAGATTTTTTTTTAAATCATAGAATCATAGAATCCTAGAGTTGGGGCATCCAGTCCAACCCCCTGTCAAGAAGCAGGAAAATCGCATTCAAAGCACCCCCGACAGATGGCCATCCAGTCTCTGTTTAAAAGCCTCCAAAGAAGGAGTCTCCATCACACAATGAGGCAGGGGGTTCCACTGCTGAACAGTTCTCACAGTTAGAAAGTTCTTCCTCATGTTCAGATGGAACCTCCTTTCCTGTAGTTTGAAGCCATTGTTCCACATTCCACGGCAGCAAAAAACAAGCTTGCTCCCTTCTCTTTTTGAACATACATATTTATACATGGCCCTCATGTCTTCTCTCAGCCTTCTCTTCTGCAGGCTAAACATGGCCAGATCTTTAAATTGCTCCTCATAGGGCTTGTTCTCCAGAACTTTGATCATTTTAGTCAGTGTAGACAAACCCTTATTTCATTGATGGTATTGGAGAACTTCAATAAGCACAAAATCTTCTGCATCTCTGTGGCAACCATACATTATCAAAACATCATGCATGATCCCTCAAAATTCAACAGGTTTGTTTTGCTTTCTGGCCACGTGGCAGTGCTAAATGTCAAGCCAAAAATTCCAAATGAGGGGGCTTGTTAGAAGTAAAAAAGGAGCAAGTTCTAACTTATCAGAAAATTGTGGAAGATGCCCGAAGGTTGATAACGTTTTTTTGGTTGTCTAAGTTGCAGTCTCCAGTTTCAAGTAAAGAAGTAAAAAAAAATACAAATGAGGACTTATTTTGGAAAATAGGCAATTCCTGAGTTACAAACATCTGACATATCTCTGACGCATAGTTCAGAACTGGGGTGAGACAACAAGAAGTGAGAGAAATGTATTCATCAGAAGTGAAATTTATTCACTTCTGAAAAAGTTATCATGGGGAAAATGTGTATCCACTGAAGCTTTATCATTAATCCTTGTTTCCACAACAAGCCAATTTTTTCAAAATACAATTATCACAGGGACAGAAAGTGAGGTGAAATCTTATGAACAGCAGCACAGACAGCAAAATAAACACCACAGGGGTGTTACTCCTACCCTATGCTATCCAAAGCTTATCTATCTATCTATCTATCTATCTATCTATCTATCTATCTATCTATCTATCTATCTATCTATCTATCTATCTTTGGATGGAGTTACACTTTAAAAATGTACCTGTTTCAACGTACGTACAAATTCAGCTTAACAACAAACCAACAGAACTTCATAACTTGCAGACTGCCTGCATTAAGTATCATAAGATACTCTTTGGCAAGCCTGTATAAAGATCAGCTTTACTATTCTATTAGGCAATAAATAGATCACTAAATCTGTCCACTGAGTGTTTTTCTCTGAAATTATGATCAAAAATTCAGATAAATCATGACATTCATAGTCAACATCATTTTTAGGCTGGGACCAACAAACTGAAGGCCCATTAGGATGAACTGAAACTGGGCAATTATATATACTAACGCATAAGTCAACCATATACATGTGTGTGTGTGTGTGTGTTGAGGGCAGGTATGGGGGCGAATTGTGGATTTTGATATGAGGACCATTTCACGGAGGGGGAAAGCCTCAGTGTTGCTTCGTGAGAGCCAGGTTTTTCCTGACTCCTCCTGTCCAGTCATTCATAAAGGCCAGAAATGAGGCAGAGAGACTAGAGGAGGCCAATGCTTTTTTAGGTTCTCCTGGAATGGACTAAGCTCTTAGTTTCATTACTCTATTCAGATTCATTTTTAAACATCAGAATTAAGGTACCGTATGTTGCTCTCATTAATCCATGGATAAGTCAACTGAAGCTTTTGGGATTTTTTTACTAAAATTTCTAGACCTATACAGAAGTGTGTGTGTGTGTGTGTGTGTGTGTGTGGCTATTTGAAGAAGAGAGAAAGGAATATACATAGGTTGATGTGGTGAGAGAAGAGCGCATGTGTGAGCCTACAGTGAGGAGTGGTGGAAGACAGATGGATCTTCCATCCCAAAAGTTAGTATGTTGAATTATTTTATAGATATGCTGCAATAAATATCTTAGACTGCCTCCATGTACATGTGTTCCAACAAGTAATAGTACATTTTAGGTTAAAAATTAGTTTTCAATACCTACCACTAATACATGCTAATCTGTGAAGCCATCTTTGTGCTCTTGTGACTGTCAGCCCAAACTAGGATGTTCCAGTGACTGAAAGCTCTCAAGATATAGAGCTATACTGTGAAAAGTTATGGCCCTGCTTCCAAAACCACAAATATTTGGAAATATCCAGGTGAACCTGGTCTAAGAGGCTTAACTTTGCTTCCATCTCAAGCCAAATCAAGAAACAACATTAACCTCCCAAACAGTGAGCAGGCCACCCACGAATCCACCAGTTTGCATGAACATAGCATACCCATTTGGTGTGTTTGTCAACACCAAAGAAATGAGCACATCCATGAAGCTGGTGCCACTCTTAAGTGATTAAGTCAATATATTTTCAGTCCATGACTGACCACAGCAATTTGGGTACCTTCCTTTAAATGTGGTGATGTGAAACACACACAGAAGCCTTTTACATTTGTGAAATATGTGCAATGTCAATTTCAGCTTATGTAGGTCCCTTTGCAAATAACGGAAAACATAGTGGTGACACGAACAGAGACAAACCACCCAAGGTTGTGTGCTATGAAATTGTTACTATACTGTACTCATGCACTCTGATGCACGTTAAGCATAGAAAGCCTTGTATAAGAGAAATGTTGGCACAATATAAGAAGACATTTGAAAGTCCTGTATTACAGCAACATAGTGAACTCTTGAGTGATGCCCAGTTCTGCTCCTATAGGATATGTATGATCTCCAAGGTTTCTGAAAGTTTTTAAATGCTCCTTTTTATCATGCAAGTGCACAAATGCCACATATTTCCCTATGAAGGCCAAGTGCCAAGTTCTATAAACACATTCTCTCACAGCTATTGCAACAGGAAGACTACCGTATATACTCCTGTATAGATCTAGAACAG